TTGTACTGCTACTCATTAGGCTGCCAATGCTGCCGCTTACCTCCGCCGCACCCAACATGCTACGTCCACTTACAGCGCGGCCTGGCACAATGATGTTGTTCGTTAACGTTGATGAGACTCCGTTCGTTGCCATTGTTGCGTTGTTGTTACCACTGCCAGCGCTACTGCTATTGCTACTCGTCGTCGCTCCACTGCCTCCACTACCATTTCCAACTACAACGGTTGCTGCTGCCGCCGCTGCAAATGTTTCGGCTATCGTCGACAAAGGTCATAAGTTCGTTGTCTGTACCAGCCCGCGTTCGAGATGGAAGCATTCCAGCACCGCTGCACCGACTGAGCTGCGGCGTGCCACCATCGAATTGACTACAGTCCATTTATTCAGGCGCGTATCGTAACGCTCCACAGAATTTAGCGAGGATGAGCCATCATTGCCACCGAGCGCATATAGCGANTACACACTCTAACCCGGTTATTACCGTACCCACCTTCTGGAATGCATCGTTGCGATCGGCTCCCACGCGTTGCGTCGTAAATTGAATCGCTCCCCGCTAGACATACACATCGTGCCATCATTGCCGCCAATGCAGTACAAGTAGCCATCACAAGAAGCCACACCGCAGCTACTGCGTCGCGCCGTCATGCTTTGCACGGGAAACCAACGTCCAACGCGTGGATCGAAACGCTCCACACTCGACTGGTAGTTGGTCGAATCGAACCCGCCTAACGAGTAAATGCAATTATCCAATACCGCTAAACGGCAGTAGCGGCGTCGTGTATTCATTGCCGGACACGAACTCCAGATGGCCGTCAATGGATCGTAACGCTCCATGCTGCTTAGACAAGAGGCGCCATCATAGCCACCACAAACATACAGTAGTCCATCGTAGGCGCAAATGCCTAGACAAGAGCGCTTCGTACCCATCGGTGTTATATTAGTCCACTTATTGATCAACGGATTATAGAATTCGGCAGTGCTTAGATCGCTCACGCCATCATAACCACCGACAACATAGAGCTGCTTGTGTAGCGCAGTCACACCGGAGCGTGAACGTCGCCACAGCATTGGTGCGATGGGTGTCCAAGCGTTAGTGCGTGGATTATAGACCTCGCACTCGTTGTGAATGGCGAAGAGGCTGCCGCCACCCACAGCGAACACATACGATTTCATACCCTCCGGCCGACGCTCTTGTGTGCGTTGGCTGCTCATCAAGCTGCGCTGTTCTGGCAGTAAATGGTATTTCATGGCTTCCAACAAAAGTTCCTTGCACTGGCCGTCCTCTCTTATGAGTGTCTCTGTTTCGACGCAGGTCATAAGGAAATCTCGTCCCACCAGCGGCAAGCGTACGTGGCTCATCAATTCGGCAATGTGACACTGACGTTCAGCTAGATCGTGTTTGACCCAATTTAGTACAGCGAGAAAAACTTTCTCTTCGGAGCAAATATTCAGTTGATTATTTGATATCAGATCTCTGACCTGTGGCGAAGTGAATGATGAGTGAAAATGTGTACAGAGGAAAAGGGGTTTAGATATTAAGAGTTAAATTGTTATGCAAGTGCATATGTCTGTAAATTGGAATGATTATTACCTCGTCAAAAGGTAAAAGCAAAAACTCCTCGGTTCCGACGACTTGTTGGAAGTTTTGTAATGCATACTTATGCGAGCGCGTATGTAGCTCCTTGCAAGAATGGGCATCTGAAAATTAAAGACATTAGAGGACATTGAGGAAAGATAGATGCTACAATTCGAGGTATATGTATGTAGTAAAAGTCATGGTTTTCCAAGTTATCATTATTCGACCTGCGCCGTTTCAATGCCAGTAGTATCCTTGAGATATCCAATCACATAAAGGTAACTGTAAAATCTCAAACGACCTTACGGAGTTTCCTACAACCGGTTATGACACGTCTTTAGATACCGTTGGGGAAAGAAGATCAATCCATGTTTACACGGATGAACAAAAAGAACTGTAGGTTTTGTTTATTTGGAACAATTAGGTATATCATTCAGCTTCCGCCTTTCTGACTATAGCAGTGTTTTTTCAGGCGGAACTGATGTCTGTCTCAAAAGCCGCATCACTGGCACAGTATGGTACTATTCCTATTGATGATATCTACATTTTCACGGCAGCCTGGCGGCTACTAAAACACTGTAGAAGACTTCAAAAGTAGTTTCTCAATGCCGCCGAGCTATTGACGAGGTGACTGAGACATTCCGCACACACATTGTCTGTGTACCGGCCATTGCAACATCCAGGTAAATTGCAAGACTGAAGAACTCGCGCGTCATGGAACGACATTACCTGACGCAGATATACTCTTGACATGGCTCTTAAAACATGTAAATTTTTTCTGAATGAAAAATACATAGAATTAATTATCTAACCGATTTGTCATATTGCCAAAACACTTTGGCATAGATGCTCAACGTAGTAAGTCTCTACTGAATTTAAGGAGGCAGGACATTCGCATAGTAACTGGAGTTCTAACCTGACCCAAGCCGGCTGAACCGGGAAAGATCAAGCAAATCTTCAGCCTTTGCAATAGCGACCTACCAACCCACAACTGAAAGGTAGGGAAAATTGAGGAGCCGACAGAAGGCAGATGTAGCTGATCCTCAAAGCTGAATCTCTTTCCCCCCCCCCCCCCCCC